GCTGCGTTCGGGCAGCTTGCTATCGCTGTCGCGCTATTGGCTCTTCGCACGAAGTTCATAGCGTTTGCGTTTATAGCGTTAATAGCGTCTCCCCGAATGCACCCCTAGAATCAAAGCAAGTGTAAAACCAGGACAATAATAATCTACATAATAAATGTCATCACGTTAAGTCGTGATGTATATAAGGGCCACGCAAGTAGAACTTGGTGCTTCAAGCACATATAACGTCATCGCGTTAAGTCGTGAAGTACGTAAGGGCCACGCAAGTAAAACTTGGCGCATTGGACATTAAAGACTATGCGAGTATAAAATATAATACAAATTAATATTCAGGGCCATGCAGGATTAAATACCTGATATACCTATATAGAGTATTACTGTAACTAAGGGCCACGTAATATGAATTTATTATTAATATTCAGGGCCATGCAGGATTAAATACCTGATATACCTATATAGAATACTACAGCAACTAGGGCCACGTAATGAAATTATCATGAAGTTTGTATAAAATATATAAACATACTGTACAAAATAAGAGAAAAAAGAGGAAACGAAGAGAGCTACTTTTCTACATACTGGAGGTTTGGGACTTCAAGAAATATTCTATAGCATTCCAGGAGCACAAGGATCAGGAACGGAAAATGAGAAAGTTTATGAGATAGGGTAGACGTACCATTTGTGGCCACTTTAAGCGATAGCCTACTATTAATTTGAAGATAAGTTTAAAATAAATATATATGAGCACCTAGAAAGTTGATCGACGTCATCCGGAGGGTATAAGGAATCGAATTATTACGAATAAAAGTTTTTTTTACGCATAATTAATTGCGAAAATGGTATATAATCAGTGAACTCCTTATTTCACCAAAAGTGGCCACAAATGCACTTTTTGGCCAGTCATTGTACTATTTGTGGCCACTTTGGACAAAAAATATTGACAGAAAATTTATAAAACAGGTAACCCACGCAATTTTATTTAAATAATGGTTTATTCGAACGACAAAAGCATTTTATGCAACAAATAATATATTCCAGTAGAAAATATATAACTATCGATAATAAATCTTAGAATATATTCTGAAAAACAAAACCATGTAACGTCGATTATAGCTGCACTATTTTCTCTTTTTAGCAGTTTTTGTTTCTGCAGAAATCTTCTTTCTGCTTTAATCTTCTTGTTTAGTTCCATTCTCGCTACTCTTTCCTCTCTTCTAATACGTTTTCTCTCTTCCTCGTCGCGTTTTGCTTCCTCTTTGGCCTGCATCAATTCGATCCATTTATCGGAAGTTAACACCGAAGGTGTATGTTCGTTGGTCCTGTTTGATTTTTTCGATTTGGTCGTTTGCTTTTTTGGCCACAGAAGTATTGAGTCCAAAACTTCATCTACCGATTTTTTGCGGATAACAATGTCCGAAGAAGCGAAATTAGTGACTACACTCGTACTAGGACGCGGATCCGTATCAACATTTTCAGTCTGTGCCGTTTGATTCAAGACTTTTTCGTTCAATATAATAGGTTCTTCATTCTCAGATATATCATTTTGGATAAGGGTATAAGAATTATTGGATCCTATATCATTAGATATGGGAACAACAGGAACGTCGGAATATCCTTCGGAATGATCGAATTCCATGAATTCGGATGTTCGTCTATCATAATGAAAAAATCCAATAACATGTTAACTGATGATTTTGACTGTTACCCGGAAAATAACGTAAAGTAAAAATCAATGAAGAAAAAAACGTAGACAAGAAAACAATTTGAGTGTAAAAACGCCCAACAACAGCTCCTTAATATGATTGTAAATCTCAGAAAATTGAATAATGATAACAGGACGAGTGAAAAAATCACAACACCAAAAAAATTGAATAAATAAAAAATTGATTTCCTTGTAAAAAATAACATTGTAGTAAAAATAACTAATAAAAAAATGGAAATTTGAGTATGAACTTTAATACGTCACCTAAAAATTTCTCAATCCGGTTTACCACCTTAATTGCATGTACCTTGTGACGTTGCGGTTTCGCCGCGGCGTGGCAGCGCTCCGCCGCCGTCACAAGGCGCGGATTGCGCGCCCGAGGACGGCTCACGAATCAACCTTCGATCTCCAGGGGCGTATTAAAGTTGCGATTCAAATATTCATTATTGTTTTTTTTTCTTGCGATATTGCGTGGCGCCTCACCCCGTCGAGTTGGAGTTCCAACGCCACACTGAAGATGACGAGGAGTACAAGGAGAGCCGGATGATAAACGGAATCACAAGGACCGAAAGCGAGATGTCGAGGGCGAGGAGCCCGAGTTACGAGGACCGCTACTAAGCGAGGGACGACGTGAGACGCGCGCGCTGCGCGCCAGCAACGGCAGGCGAACCTGTGCATCGCAGGGGCCCGGCGCCGGGCCTGTCTGCAGTCCTCCGAGGCCAGACGGACTCTGGGGGTGGATGGCCACCGCCCCCGAGTCGAGCCAGAGGACACCGCGGGAGTCATCGCCTTGCCTACTACAACGGGGAAACCTGGAAGGACCCCGCGAGCGCGAAGGGCACGTTCGAACGCCCCGCCGAATCCACGGTCGATAACCCTGCTAGCGGCTCCCACACGAGCTTGCGAGCTCATCGCCAATTGGTCCGCTTATCGCGCGGAAGGGTCGCGCATGTCCCGCTAGGGGCGTTAGATCGACGCCTCTATCGAGCGCACTTCCGCGATCATTCTTGAGCCACCCTCGGGACGACACGCACGGCTTTCTTGAGCGCTTCTCGACCGACTCTTGCTGCGCACTTGGTGCCTGAGGTCTCGTGGCCAGTGAATAGTACTCATCGAGTGAAAGTCCTGGAGATTGCGATAGATATCTCGATTCGGTAATTCGCGAACATTCTTACGGTATCTGTGGTCGCGATCGCGTATTACCCGGCGGTGCGTCACGCGCGACTCTCGTGATCGTAGTTTATTCGTCGAGAATGATTCTTTTGCGTTACGCCGTTTCCGTAATCTCGTGTGCTTGCGGTCAAATTCGCGTTTTCCTCGTGTAGATATTCTCCCCTGCGTAGATTTAGTTGTACATTGCGTTAGTATGTAAGTTCGTCATCTCTTGCGGTAGATTTAGTTTATTTCGCGTTAGTCTGCCAGTCCGTCAAGACATTATTGCGTTGCGTAGTCTCGCGCTGGTTTAGCGCTATTCTCCTCGGAGAATACTCTTTCTTTCGCGTTGAATTAAGTACTCTTTTGCGTAGGGCGTATGTCCCGTAAAAATTCGTTAGATTGAGTACGATATCCTTCTCGCGCTGATGATTTCCTCGGCGCGATAAAACTTAAATATTTCGCGTTATCTGTCGCGTTCGGGCTTGATTATTGGCCCGTCGTTGTGTTATATTGCGCCTCGTATTTCGAGGATACTCTCTCCTGGCGACAGAATTCTGAACAATCGCGATCCTGCGTACTTTCTGGAGTAAACTTGGCGTCTGAGATCGCGTGAAAATTTGACTTGTTTTCGGAGTTATTATTTTCCTGGTTGTAGCGATTTTTGATTTATTCTTCCACGCTCACGATTATTCACGTCTATATGATTTCGCTTTTGTGAGAGATGAATCAACGGTTCTTTAATTTATTAGAGCAATCTCGTGAGCTAATTGTTTTTTTTCTTTGCAATAAATGTTAATCTCTTTTGTTATTAATTGTTTGAGTTCGTACTTTCTGTGTCGCCCGTCACAATTCGCGCTGCCCTATATCACCTTCGTCCCTGAGTAATACGCCGAGCTGGTCGATTTCTCGCACGCCGTTTAATTACGATAAACGTTTCGATAATTTGTGATAAATTTCGCGTTAGTGGACGCGGGATACCGCGTCTGGCGCCCAACACTCACGTTCGCGTTAGAAATTCGGTTCGTGCGAGAGATCCGTCGGAGAGGCCTGACATCCTACTCTCCCGCAACTCCCTTTTGATCCGGCTTTGCGCCCGAACGGGTAAAAAGTCGTGACAACCTATATGTAACTAATTGAGCTTCCGTTCTCTTTTAGCAAAACTACGATTTAATTCTTTTTTTTTTTCATATACTTACTAAAGCGTGTGTCAGACGAGGCAAACTCGGGAAATGGGATCTCCAAAACATTTTCTACAGAGATTTCGTCGATTACCGTTAACCCGGAAGCTTCTGCGGTCGATTGCGTAGGAACGTCGAGTGCTACAAGGTTCATAGGTTCTTCTTGCTGCTCCAGAGTCATAGATTCCTCTTTTTCATCGTCGATAATCTTCATCCAGAGTTCATACAGTGCAGCATTTCTATCATCAGCATCCCAAGTTTCGTTGGAGACTCTCTTTTCTTTGAATCGTTCTAGTACCTCAGAAACGATTTTACTCTCTACATAATGACGATGCGTGAGCTTAGGTTGATCCGGTTCAATCCTTGCAGTTTGTGGATTATCATCGTTGGGTTTTTTGTTTTCCTTTATGCACTTTGCGTAATTCACTGCATTATCGTCGAACGGGTATAGCCCGCACGTCTTGAAGCCATTTTTTATGGTATCACTAAAATCATTTTCAGTGATGATACGCGACAGCAATGATGGTACTTGGTGTTTCTGGAGGTCTTCGCCATCATGCTCGATTCGCCAATTTCTTACAAGCGATTTCCACTTTTGTTTAAGCGGAAAGAAAACAGCGACGTCCAGTGGCTGCAGAATATGGGTTGCGTGAGAAGGAAAGCAGCATATTTCGATTTGTTTTTCTTTGCAGAACTCACACAGTTGCAAAGACAAGTGAGAAACATGACCGTCTAAGAATACTACGATGGGAAGTGGGATCTTGTTTTCAACGAGAAAACGGTGAAAAACAGTGGTAAAATATTCGAAAAAAGACTCCGTTGTCATCCAGCCATTCTCAGTTTCCCCGATTCCCCAATTTGCAGGTGCTGATTCAATACAGGCGTTCGGTAGACGTTTATACTTGTAAACTGTTAGCGGTGGCGCGAACTCTCCAGCAGCATTGACAGTAAATAGAGTCGTGACATTTTCTTTGTCGTTGGTAGCAACGTCGTACACAGATTTGCCTTTTTCCGCTAGCACGATACCGCCCTGTGGAGAAAGATAGACCGCCGTTTCATCCATATTGAATACCCGGCGAGAATCTTGAAGTATTTCGTGGATGGCGTCGGAGAAAACCTTCAAACCACTTCCTCCCAGGCAGATTGTCTTTAAATGGGTTGGGATGTTCTTCCTTCTTTAGGAGCTTCTTAACCGAGTACAATAGCGAGTCCTTATTTATGGGAAAACCCATTCTACTCGTCTCCAAAAGCCACTGTGCCAATCTCTCTTCAATATTGTGTCCGAGCACAGCTTCTCGCCCAACGCGACCCGATGTTTCCGGCGCTCTTCCGGATAGCTTATTGCGCAATGTAGTCCGAGGTACTTTATACGTCTTGCTTGCCGTGGCTATCGGCATTCCATTCCGTATAGCCTTCAGTGCCTTTCCAATATCTTCTTCACGATAGTTAAAAAGTGTTCTCTTGAGCTTTTCATTTTCCTTGTTCTCTCGTTCCGCTTCTGTAGTTTTTTTCTTTGGTGCCATACCCTTCTATAAAAATAATAAAAAACGCAAATCAATCGAAAATTATGATAAAAAAATCCTATGTAGTTATTTTCTTATATAGTTTTATAATAATCAAGCTATTACTATAAAATTCCATGAAAAACCAACGTTCGGAACTAACTGGCCAAAAATGGAAATTGCGGGCGCCATATGTGGCCATGGGGTGGCCACAAATAGTACAATGATACTTTCGATGTTCTATTTTCGGCCATACCGTATTTACAGCATATTTTAGGTTATTTTTCAATGATTTTATATT